TAGGACTACAGGCTCATATCATCACACCTGGCTAATTTTTATTTTTTTTTGTAGACACAGAGTCTCATTCTGTTGCCCAGGCTGATCTTGAACTACTGGCCCCGAGCAAACCTCCCGCCTCAGCCTCCCAAAGTGTTGGAATTACAAGCATGAGCCATTACAACTGGCTGATATTTGTTTTTTCTGATTCGTAAGTAACGTTCCAAAATTGGAGAAAATTAGAAAAATACACAAAATCATCCACACATCATCCCTAAATCTACCATCCAGGGATGATCATTGGTAACATTCTGATGCTAAATGTCTTCCTTTCTTTCTACGTAAATGTAACTGGAATTTTTGTGTGTGGTTTTCTTTTTTCTCTTGGGCACGATCTCGGCTCACTGCCACCGCTGCCTCCTGGGTTCAAGCCATTATTCTGCCTCAGCCTTCTGAGTAGCTGGGATTACAAGCGTGCCACCACGCCCCCGCTAATTTTTATATTTTTAGTAGAGAAGGGGTTTCACCTTATTGGCCAGGCTAGTCTTGAACTGCTGACCTCAAGTGATCCACCCACCTCGGCCTCCCAAAGTGCTAGGATTACTGGCCTGAACCACCGCATCTAGCCCTTATTTTCTTACTTGAGAGTTAAACAAAATCGATTGAAGTAGTTTGTATCTAATTTTTCTTTTTTTTTTTTTTTGAGACGACGTTTCACTCTTGCTTCCCAGGCTGGAGTGCGATGGCACGATCTCGGCTCACCACAACCACCGCCTCCCAGGTTCAAGTGATTCTCCTGCCTCAGCCTACCGAATAGCTGGGATTACAGGCATGCGCCACCACACCCAGCTAATTTTGTATTTTTAGTAGAGACGGGGTTTCTCCATGTTGGTCAGGCTCGTCTCAAACTCCCGACCTCAGGTGATCCGCCTGCCTCAGCCTCCCAAAGTGCTGGGATTACAGGCGTGAGCCACCGCGCCCAGCTCTAATTTTTCGTTCACTTATTTTATCCTAACAATTTTCCCAATACTAATTTAAAATCATTGTAATGACTAGAAAATATTACAGAGACTGGCTATGGCATAATTTATTTAACTATTCCCTTTTAGAAATAATCTCTAATATTACAATGAATGTTCTATATACACTAAGCTTTATTGAGACCCTAATTATTCCCTTAGTATAAATTCTTGGAATTCCACTTGAAGTAAAATTATTGGATATTTTAACACCCTACTTACATACTGCCAACTTCCTAGAAGTATTACAGTAATTCACACTGCCAACATTAGATGAGAATGAATTTTCATCACACCATCGCCATTGCTAAACCTTATTTTTCATTTCTCTTTGCCAATTTGATTTCTTAAAAGGTTCGCTGTTGTAATTACAAGCAAGGTTAAATATTTTATCATGATTGACTATCCAAATTTCTTCTTGTTAAAGCAATCAGTTCTTTTCATTTTTAAAAGATGGCAACAGGCAGGGCATGGTGGCTCATGCCTGTAATCCCAACACTTTGGGAGGCCAAGGAGTCAGGAGGATCACTTGAGCCCAAGAGTTTCAGACCAGTCTAGGCAACACAGTGGACTCTGTCTCTACAAAAAATAAAAAATTAGCCAGTGTGGTGGCACATGCTTGTAGTCCCAGCTACTCAGGAGGCTGAAGTGGGAGGATCACTTGAGCCTAAGAGTTCAAAGCTGCAGTGAGCTGTAATCATACCACTGTATCCCAGTCTGGGTGACAAAGACCTTGACTCCAAAAAAAAAAAAAAAAAGTGACATTGACAGTCATAGACCTTGGCGCAGTGTATGGCAACACAATAAGTAATGCTAGTAAATAAGTAAAGGCTAGTTACTTTTATTTATTTGCCCTAAATCATTTTGATCCCAGAATTTTTTCATCTTATAACTGAAAGTTTGTATTCTTTGGCAACTAGTGTTCTAGTCTTTGCTTATACAAGTTCAACCATTTTTTAGTGACTGGGTCTCCCTCTGTCGCCCAGGCTAGAGCGCAAAAGAATAATCATAACTCACTACAGCCTCCAACTTCTGGGCTCAAACTGTCCTCCTGCCCTAGCCTCTTATTTTTGAGATGGAGTCTCACTTTGTCGCCCAGGCTGGAGTGCAGTGGCGCAATCTCGGCTTACTGCAACCTCTGCCTCCCGGGTTCAAGTTATTCTCCTGCCTCAGCTTCCCGAGTAGCTGGGATAACAGGCATGTACCCTCACGCCTGGCTAATTTTTGTATTTTTACTAGAGACAGGGTTTCACCATGTTGGCCAGGCTGGTCTCAAACTCCTGATCTCAGATGATCCACCCATCTCGGCCTCCCAAAGTGCTAGGATTACAAGTATGAGCCACCACACCCAGCCCTGCCCTAGCCTCTTGAGTAGGTAGGACTACAGGCATGTACCACCACACCTGGCTAATTTTTTAATTTTCTTTCCTTTTTTTTAGACGGAGTTTCACTCTTGCCCAGGCTGAAGTGTAATGGCGCGATCTTGGCTCACCGCGACCTCTGCATCCTGGGTTCAAGTGATTCTCCTGCCTCAGTCTCCCGAGTAGCTGGGACTATAGGCATGCGCCACCACGCCCAGCTAATTTTGTATTTTTAGTAGAGACGGGGTTTCTCCGTGTTGGTCAGGCTGGTCTCGAACTCTGACCTTAGGTGAACCGCCTGCCTCGCCCTCCCAAAGTGCTGGGATTACAGGTGTGAGTCACCACAATCGGCCTTTTTATTTTTTAATAGAGATTGGGTCTTGCTATGTTACCCAGGCTGGGTGAATTCAACTTAAAAAACAATTCTACATATAAATGAAGTCATGCAGTATTTGCCTTTCCGTGTTTGGCTTATTTCACTTAGAATAATGTCCTCCAGATTAATCCCTATTGTCATAAATGGCAAGATTTTCTTCATTTCTATAGCCGAATATTATTCTACTATGTAGAGAATGTATGTACATATATATATACACACACACATACACGTATATACACACACATATATACAAAACGCAATTTCTTTACTCATCTATCGATGGACACTAAGGTTGTTTCCGTATCTCAGCCATTGTGAATAATGCTGCAATGAACATGGGAGTGCAGGTATCTCTTTGAGATACTGATTTCCTTTCCTTTGAATACATAACCAGATGTGGGACTGCAGGGTCACATGGTAGTTCTAGTTTCAGTTTTTTGAGGAACCTCCATACCGTTTTCCATAATGGCTATACTAATTTATATTCTCAATAATACACAGGGTTCCCATTTCTCTACATCCTTGCCAACACTTGATTTTCTGTCCTTTTGGTAACAGTTATTCTGACAGATATGCGGTAATATCTCAGTGGTTTTGATTTGCATTTTCCTGATAAATGATGTCGAACATCTGTTCATATACCAGTTGGTCATCTGTATGTCTCCTTTGGAAAAATGTCTATTCAGATCCTTTGCTCATTTTTAAATCAAGTTATTCATTTGTTTGCTACTGAGTTGCATTCTATATATATTTTGGATACTGACCACTTTTCAGATGTACAGTTTGCAAATATTCTCCCCCATTCCATTGGCTGTCTCTTCACTCTGCTGATTGTTTCCTTTTTTGTACAGAAGCTTTTTAGTTTAATAGACTCCCACTTGCTTATTTTTGCTTTGATTGCCTAGATTTTTGGTTTCACATCCAAAAAATCACTGACCAATGACAAGGAGGTTTTTCCCTATGTTTTCTTCTAGGAGCTTTATGGTTTCAGGTCTTTAATCCATTCTGAGTTCATTATTATATATGGTACAACATGAGAGTCCAATTCCATTCTTTTGCATGCGGATATCCAACTTTCCCAATACTATTTATTGAAGACACCATCCTTTTCCCCTTTGTGTATTCTTGGTGTCCTTATCAAAGATTAGTTTATTGCACATGTATGGGTTTATTTCTAGACTCTCTATTCTGTTCCGTTGGTCTATGTGTCTGTTTTTACGCCAGTACCATATTGGCACACTGTCTTAATTACTATGGCTTTTTAATGTAGGCTGGTTGCTATTTTTATTGTTATATTCACAAATTTCTATCCGTAAATGCTGGTAAAGAGTGAATGATAAGCTGGCCTAATAAAAATTGGCCAAAAGCTGCTGTTTCATGCTGGTAGGTCTACTTAATACATCCTTTTTTCTCTATTATGAGAAAATCAAGTCCCTACTGAGGCCGGGTGTGGTGGCTCACACCTACAATCCTAGCACTTGGAGAGGCTGAGGCAGGAGGATCACTTGAGGCCACAAGTTCGAGACCAGCTGGTCAACGTGGCAAGACACTCTCTCTACTAAAACTACAAAAATTAGCTGAGCGTGGTGGTGCACACCTGTAAACCCAGCTACTTAGGAGGCTGACACACAAGAATCGCTTGAACCCAGGAGGTAGAGGTTGCAGTGAGCCAAGACTGAGCCACTGTACTCCAGCTGGGGGACAGAATGAGACCCTATCTCAAAACAAACAAACAAACAAAATTAAGTTACTGAGGTTGTTCCTTAACATTAACCTGACTGTCCAACTTTCAGGTACATGAGCTTGAGGTATTTTCTTCAAAACTACACCGTGAAGACTCAAGCCATGATTCTGGTTTGAGGAAGAAAAAAGCTCATAAAAAGTTGCCCACAACTCATGATATTATTCAATTATATGCCTTTAGAGAGAAATGACTGCAATGCTAGACCCTCTCCTTAGGTTTTAAAGCTAACCTGAATTAGAACTTAGGAAAGAGTTTCAGCATAAATTCACACTGCTTTAATCTTGCATTTCTAAGTGCTTTTGATGTGATCCCTCAGTTAGTATGTGATGCCCCAACATCACTGTTAGGAACACTTAGCACAGGATAAGTAACAAATACAGAGTTGCCAAAAATGGGATTTTATTATACCACTGTCTATTTTTGTATGTTTGAAATTTTTTATAACATAAAGCACACACACACACACTCAGAGTGATGAAAAAGGAAAAAAGTGCCTAAATACGTAAAAGTAAACTCACCACTTTAGAATTCTCTTTGTATCAGAAAGCTTGCTGGTAAGCTGCAAATACCAGTGGTGGCAATGTGAAGCGAATCCGCTGATTTCCACCAGCTCCAAAATGTTTTCGTGCTGTGTTCAAAATCTGACCCAAAAGCATTAAAGAAACAAAATTTCCAAACTATGATTAATCATTTGTGAAATAAATGTGGGCTCCAATCATCATTGCTAACATTTTGTGAATATATACAATGTACCATAGTTTATGGTAGGCAATTTATATATTTCTTATCTCCTCAAGTTGTCACAACAATTCAGAGACAGATACAATTCCATTTCACAAATGGGGAAGTATGAGTTTCAGAGAGGTTGTATAACCTGCCCAAGGTAGTGAGTTAGAAGCAAAGATATATTTAAATATATTTTCATATACACACATGCAAAGTATGCTGCATTGATAAAGAATGTAGGCTCTGGCCAGATGTGGTGACTCATGTGTGTAATCCCAGCACTTTGGGAGGCCAAAAGTGGACAGATCAGTTGAGGTCTGGAGTTTGAGACCAGCCTGGCCAACATAGGTAAACCCCGTCTCTACTGAAAATACAAAAATTAGCTAGGCGTGGTGGCGCACACCTGTAATCTCAGCTACTCGGGAGGCTGAGGCAGGAGAATTGCTTGAACCCAGGAGATGGAGGTTGCAGTAGGCTGGGATCATGCCACTGCACTCCAGCCTGGGTGACAGAGCAAGATTCCATCTCAAAAAAAAAAGAGAAAAAAAGAAGGCTGTGAAGACACCCAGAGACTCACATTTAAAAGTAAATTCTAATACTTGTTACATGTGTGGCTTTGGGCGAATTATTTACCTTCTCTTAGCCACAAGTTTCTGTAAACTCCTAGGGTTGTTGGGAAGATCAAGTGACACGTGAGGTTTCACCACTACTTAGCACAAGGCATACGCTCAGTAATATTAACTATTACTATGATACAAAACAACTATATGCATATTACTGGTACATCATACCTCCTCATTCCAAAAAATATTAAGACCGAAAAGGCTAATATACTTTAAAAGAGCTACTTGTGAAATATTCCATGAATTCTGTGTTTTTCTTGGATTTTTTTTCTGAAATGGTACAACATATAGCCAATTCAGAAAAATTACAAGAAAAAGAGTTTATAAAATGTTTTTAATATGTGTGACACAATGACATTCAGATTTTGTGAAATTCCTGATATGGCAGATGAATAAGAGAATGCATTTTCCCTCGGGCAGTCAGAGCTAATGACCCTATTATTAAAGATCGTTATACATGGGAATAACCAATCAGCCACATGCAGAAGGCATACTTTTTTTTGAGACAGAGTTTCACTCTTGTTGCCCAGGCTGGAGTGCAATGGCGTGATATCCACTCACTGCAACCTCCACCTCCCAGGTTCAAGTGATTCTCCTTCTCAGTCTCCCAAGCAGGTGGAATTACAGGTGCCTACCACCATGCCTGGCTAGTTTTTTGTATTTTTAGTAGAGATGGGGTTTCACTGTGTTGGCCACGCTGGTCTTGAACTCCAGATCTCAGGTGATCCATCCACCTCAGTCTCCCAAAGTGCTAGGATTATAGGTGCGAGCCACCATGCCCAGCGGGAAGGCATACTTTCTAACTACTACATTTGGTATGCAATACAAAATGAAAACACACAGACACACACAATCTCACACAGAAACTTAAGGGAAACAGTTAAAATACTCAGTCACTCTGTACAGATTACATAGTTCACAGAGCACAATACCACAGTCCTGGAATGTTTGTCACTAAGCCAAGACAAAGACCATCACACTATCAACAGCAGTCAGCCTCTTATTTTACACTGATTATGAAGAAGTACAGGAGTGTCAACTACAATGAAGAAAGTCAACAGAAAGAGATAAAACAGTCAGAACATCCTCAAGCAAATGTCTTTTTCATCATAGCAGCCTAACAGCCTTATGCATCCAAGAATGGTTAAACTACTTTGCCCAAACAATAATTAAGCAGCCAACCGTGCTAACCCTTCACTAAAATAAATTCTCTATCTAGTATCGATCACTGATACCCCTACTCAGGCAACATGCTTTATCCATTTCACAAAGTTTCCCTGTGGACTAATAATAAAGAGAACCTCATGTGATTGTTCTTTATCAGAAAAAAAAAAAGTTAAGAAAAAGGCAAAATGAATTTTAAAACCTCTCATCAAAAAACAAAAACTCACATTTTCAATGTGACAAATATAATTTATACTTGCAAATTTGGAAAAGTAAAATTAAATGTAAGAATTGTATTTCTTATAAAGTTTATTATAAGCAATACATAGTTCAGAAAAAAATCAACATGGAATAATTATGGGCACTCAAGTAAAAGAAGAGACTTTTTTGTAATTCTCAGATAGTCTTCAAAAGAAATCAGAGCAACTGAATTGTTAACTCACATGCTCCAGAAGTTTACAATTATGTTTATATATAAAGTAAAAGCCCACAGATGCTATGAATCTCTTTTTTTTTTTTTTTGAGACAGAGTCTCGCTCCGCTGCCCAGACTGGAGTGCAGTGGCGCAATCTCAGCTCACTGCAACCTCCGCCTCCCGGGTTCAAGTCAATCTTTGATTCAGTTGCAATTCCTTCAAAACCGTCTAAGACCAGAAGGTGAATTAAACCATTTTAAGCACTTCAACATGTGATTTCACTAGGAGCTGATACAGGGTTATAGTAAGAGTAAACTCATACCAAGTACTGCTGGTCAGGGTCCTCAGAGCGCAGCAGATGAATGAAGCGGCCCACAAGGCTCTGCTCATCAGCAAAGTCTTCTGGATCAGGGTCCTCTACAGGCTGATCTGGCTGATCTTGAATCAATGTGGATACCAAATTCATGATGGAATCCACCTGTAACATGTGAGGCACAAGAAACCCACTGACGTGAAACCATTGGCATATAAAGCCACTGTCAAAAGTGTTTCCAGTTATAAAATTACAATACAGTATCAACAAGATATTCCTTTTTTTGGTTAGAAAGTCGATACACAGGTATGTCATACACACATATACAGACAAAAGTCTGGAAAGATATGCACAAAATGTTAATTAACAGTGGTTATTCTCTATCTGGTGGAATTATAAATGTTTTATGATTCTTTATACATCTCCCATTTTCTAATTTATATAATGAATAAGTTACTTGTAAATTTTCTTTAGTATTGAATTACCCTCCCCTCCCATCTCAGGTATCTAGGTCCATAGTCTAAAATTGTAACACTGTTTCCCTAAAATAGCATGGAGGTATTCTCTTACCTGGTCTTGAGAGACAATTTCTGTATTATAATCCAGAACGTTACTAAGCACATAACAACTCATGCTCTTTCTGGACTCATAGTCAAAGTACTCAAAGAGTGGGTGAAAATGTTTTAATTTCAAGACTGTTAAAATATTGTTGTAAGTGTCAACTGGTATTTTCAAAAGTCTGGTGAGTTCCTTTGAAACTGCACTACTGGTAGCAATACTACAAAAAGAAAAACAGAAGTCTTAATGAACAAAATTAACTTTCTCTATGCATAAATAGCACTTGTTCCATAAGAATTTGAAATTTTTCATTACACATTAAAGGAAATGGGTCAGGTGAATCATACCACCAGCAGAGTATAACAACCTCCTTTCAAGAGGATAAAAAATGCCCATCTAAACATAAATATATATATTCATCTATTATTTTTCTGTTGATACAAAACTAGAAACAGTTTCCAACTCATGAACAGATGGTATAGCTGGAGTTAAGATGACTGTCTAGAATTCGATGACATTTCTAAGGGAAGTATTTTAAGTGGTAGTTTCGTTCCCAGGGGGCAGCCAACAAGTATTGTATATTCACGATGAAAATAAATAGGAAAAAAAATCCATGCAAAACCAGCAATTTGACACAATAGAAAAATATATAAACTATTTCTTCTGCATCAGATGTTGGTGATTAAGGAAAAGCAGGCTGACTGAATTAGGTAGTGGTTAGTAAAAGCATTCTGTAGATACTGAGGCATATTGGGGCATTTATAACAACCTCTATTTCCAATGATTTTGTCTATTTTTACTTTAAAATTCACTTGGGGAGAAAGACATAGATACATCATTTAGTTTTTTTTATTTAAATTTTTTTAATTTTTAATTTTATTTTTTATTAGAGACAGGGTCTCGCTCTGTTGCCCAGGCTGTTCTCAAACTCCTGGGCTCAAGTGATTCTCCCAACTCAGCCTCCTGAATAGCTGGGATGACAGGTGCAAGCCACCACACCTGGCACATCATTTAATTTTCGCTCATACTTATTCCATATCTGAACTTGTTTTCCGTTTGCACACACACAAAACCAAAATGACCAAAAGAAAAAGGGTAACACAAACGGAGGAAAAAAAGAGTAAATTTTCTTGATGCAGGTAAACCACTAGAAGGGAGATAGAAAGGAGGAACATGACATGAGGTAAAATTCTCAAGAATATGGGCGGGGGAGGCAGGCCTGGCTTGAACCAAGTCCAGAGCAGTGGGGAATGGGGCAGGAAGGGAACCGCGGGGGAAGGTAACAGGATCCGAGCTGCCCATAGTGGCCACTACAGGACGCCACAGGTCTAGGACAGAACAGCTGAGGAGGCTTCAAGTTGGAAACAGGACTGTTCGTACTTCCTTGAAGGTATCAAAATCAAAGCTCAAAATAGAAAAGAAATTTAAACCAATTTAATTCTGCACCTTAAATACACATACACCCTTCATTTTTCACCATGTGCTCATTCGTAGGAAAACACCTCTTATGGAAATAAATACTGCCTGAGAAAGTTTCCTTACCAGTTTAAGAACTCATTCACACACAGCAAGCTCCTCCAACCCGCAGCCCACAGGCTGCACGCAGCCCAGCATGACTTTGAATGCAGCCCAACACAAATTTGTAAGCCTTCTTAAAAACATTATGAGTTTTTTGCGACTTTTTTTAAAGCTCATCAGCTATTGTTAGTGATAGTGTATTTTATGTGTGGCCCAAGAAAATGGTTCTTCCAATGTGGCCCAGGGAAGCCAAAAGATTGGATGCCCCTGATACACAGAAAGGGATCCAAATTGGAGTCACTGGTCGCTGAAGACTGCCTATGGTCCATGGGTACCACAATTTCATTAATATACACAACCAAGTAATTGGTCACCACTTTCTGCCCCTAGTAGTGCTAAGCATGACAATCTTAATGCATGATTAAAACAAGACAAATGGCAGCAGTTCAAAAAACAATTGAGAAAGAAAAGCAAATCTAGGAAAAAAGTGTCTTTATGAGGATTTTTACAAAAATGTAACTGACTTACTGTTCAAGGTTGAGCTTATTGAATATCTCCACTGTTGTTTCTAGAACTTTATCAACATAGTCCACACGATCAGGGTAACATTTCATGGCAAGATTAATGAGAGAGACTTGTAAAGATACAACATCCTCTGAAGGCATGTCTTGTCTAGACTGGAATGTTTAGAAAACCATACAATTTACTTTAAACAATTGTAAAAGGAAGGCAGAGAAGTTTCAAAGTTTTGAGAACTTAGGAGAAATGCTACACAAACCTGTATCACTGTAGCCACCTGCTGTGAAAATATATCAAAAAGTTTAATATCCGCTGGGATTCCAGGTCCATCTTCACGGTGAGCAAATAAAGCTAATCTAAAAAAAAAAAAACAAAACCCCTTTATTTTAAAAGATACAGGGTTTGGGTAGTGAGATCATGGATGACATCTTATTCTTTATTGCTTTTCTATATTTTGTATGAGCCCAAAAGGCTTGTTTTTTTAGACAGAGTCTCACTCTGTCGGCTAGGCTGGAGTGCAGTTGTGTACTCTCAGCTCAATGAAACCTCCACCTGCTGGGCTCAAGCTATCCTCCTCCCACCTAGGCCTCCTGAGTAGCTGGGGCTAACAGCATGTGCAACCACGCCCAGCTAATTTTTGTGCTTTCTGTAGTGATAGGGTTTCACCATGTTGCCCAGGGTGGTACTAACCTGGACTCCAGCAAGCCTCCCTCCTTGGCCTCCCAAAGTGCTGGGATTACAGATGTGAGCCACTGCACCCAGCCTCCTCAATTCATTTTTAACTAAACAGTTTTGCCAGTGCAACCTTTTTTCTTCAGCATTCTTATTTCATACTATACTAAGTAGATTTTCAACAAGATAATTCTCTCAAACTCTTTGAAGCATAATTAAGTAGATATGGACAGAAATGCATTAAAGTGACAAATGTATTCAACAACCATGATTCAAATAAATAATCTTTAAAAAATAAAAGTACATAGACTATTTTAAGTACTGCATTTTTACTAAAGTTTGAAATACAACTAAGTCTAAAATTCATAAAATTAACTTTTATTTCCCTCATCTTAAATTACTCAAAATAATGTCTGTTTCATTATCATTATCTGTTTGTCACAGTCACAACTACATCCACATTTTGTTATGCCCAGAAGCATCAGTACTGACAGAGATGGGTAAGTGACATTACAGGCAACACAGGAAAATCCAGTTACTAGCTTCCTTTAAGAGGGGGCTCAATCAGTATGGAATTTTTGCTGCCCAGGATTGAGCTGATAATTTGGAAAATTTTGTAATCTGAATTCTCAGACTTTAAAATGAATAACTTAGTTTTTCAAAAAACATACAAAAGGTATCTGCAGAAATAAATCTTCACTTAGGTTTCTGGTTTCATGACAATGCTTACAAGTAGTAGGACAGACATTCTGTACTACTACACAACATGGCTGCAAAAAAGTCACCCATTGGCCAAACACAGCGGCTCACATCTGTAATCCCAGCACTTCAGGAAGCGGAGGCAGGCTGATCATTTGAGCTCAGGAGTTTGAGACCAGCCTGGCCAACCTGGCAAAACCCCGTCTCTACTAAAAATACAAAAATTAGCCGGGCATGGTGGTGCATGTCTGTAATCCCAGCTACTCGGGAAGCTGAGACACTAGAACCCCTTGAACCCAGGAGTTGGAAGTTGCAGTGAGCCAAGATAGCACCACTGCACTCTAGCTTGGGTGACGGAGTGGGACTCTGTCTAAAAAAAAAAAAAAAACTAAGAAAATAAAACTTAAAGTGGATGTACTAAACATATTTGATACTTAAAATTTTTTCTTAAAGAAAATGTGGGCCGGGCGCGGTGGCTCAAGCCTGTAATCCCAGCACTTTGGGAGGCCAAGACGGGTGGATCACAAGGTCAGGAGATCGAGACCATCCTGGCTA